TTAGATTAGTACTAAACTATTCGGATCATTCAATTATATCCGTTCATCGTACATCGTACGGTCAGAAATTATTGTAAATTTTTTTATTTAAAATTGAATAGAAACAGTACTTGACAAAAATTGATCGTCCAATATACGATAAACGAATATGATTTAAAGATTTTCGAAATCCACGTAAAAAAGATCCGGTAAAGATCCTCTCTCCTAAATTATTTGACATTGAGCCAGCTCTGCATCTGACATTTCAGAAAATATGGTAGAAAAGGTCAGAAAATGCGGATTCCCCAAGATGCCCCTATAAAATATTTCAAGTTTTATGTTATTTACGATATGCCAACGCCACCAACCTCCATGGATCAGTCCTATATTATTGTACGCACACACATATATGAAGGGAGCCTTAGAAGGGATTTCTATTTTTTTTTTTTAATAAAAATGAAGATTAGTTGTGAGGCTTACATCAGATGAAATTTAACAATCTGAACTATCTATTTTCAAGTTGCACATCATAGATCATTCTTGCAAAGAATTAGCCAAATTAGAAATATTTGAAACATGTAATTGAGTTCAAAAAAATCGACAATACTTTGTTCTCTAAGAAATATTAAAATTTTATTGTGATAATTAAATAGGCAAATGGTTTCGAATTGAATTGAAATTTCCCTTAAAGGCTTGTGTATATGAATATATATGTATGCATGTATGCGCCCATGCCGGAGACCATGTGACTATATATATATATATATGGCTAAGTTGTCAATTTGACTTCTGAACTATCACTTAACTTTCGATTTCCCTCATGAACTTTTTAATTGGAAAATTAAGGACTTAAACTAATTTTATTGGCCGATTTCCCCATACCGTTATTTTTCATAGATTTCATCCAAATTAACGTTAACTCTTATCATATTCACACCACGTGACTCTCCTTTATGGACAAAAGTGTCACTACGCTAGACCTTCAGACATAAAAGCTATAGAATCACATATATTTGCATAGGCTTATATTTTAGAAATCTAAGGTTTTCAATTATTTTAAAAAATGAAGCGATCGAACTACCCCTACATGTTGTGCACATGCTTCTATTTAACAAAATTTTGGATGGAATGAATGAAAAATTAACAGCATAAGGCAAATCGGCCAAAAAAATAGTTTAAGTCCTTAATTTTCCAATTAAAACGTTCAGGGGGAAATCGAAAGTTGAGTGATAGTTTGGGGGACAAATCGTCAATTTACTCTATATGTCTACATGTTCTGCATACAAATTCATAAATGAAGCCCCAAAGTGATCATCTTCTTTGCCAATTGCTAGGAGAGGGACTTACATACATTCCAAGCCATTCATACTGAATCACTCGTACACGTCTGTAGACATCGAAATTTCGGTAAATAAATGTTGACCGATAAATCAAAGTGTCAACGCTCATGTATTACATAAATTTTACACGTAGCGTGTGACTCAACGAAAATTGAAATGAGTTGGAAAAGTCATCAAATAGGACACGTGTCAACACCTGGCAGAAACGACTTATTTCATTTGGAATATTATATTCAAAATTAGGCCTTGGGAAATTCTATAAATACAAGCCCAATTTCATTCATTTGGGGACCAATTCATATTACACCTTGAAGCTCTGAAGCTCTGAAACTCCGAAGCTCTCAAGCATCCAAGTTCCCGAAGAATCAAGAAAGCCTTTTTCGTTCTTCGTTCATCGTTCTTCCAAGATCAAGCCCCGACGGCCCTTGGATCAACAATCACCAACTCAAGATCAAGCCCCGACGGCCCTTGAAGAAAGTGTTCATCATTCATCACCCGTTCATCCTAAGATCAAGCCCCAACGGCCCTTTGGATCAACAATAGCAACAAATCCACACATCCAACTGTTCTTCAAGATTAAGCCCAAAAGCCCTTGAAGATCCGTTCATCCATCAACCTTCAAGATCAAGCCCAAAAGCCCTTGAAGAAACGCTCATCCTCAAGATCAAGCCCCAACGGCTCCTTGAAGACCCGCTCAAAATCCACCTTCAAAGATCAAGCCCACGACCCTTGAAGAACGTTCATCCTTAGATCAAGCCCAACGGCCCTTTGGATCAATCACACATCCACAAATCAACACCTTACGGAGATCGAATCAGAGGACAAATTAGAGAGAGATTGTAACCCAAAATCATCAAATACAAATATTTGTTTGTGCGCGTTCGTTCTTGTCTCTTTCGTTTCAGGAATTTTCCGTGTTCACAAATTGGCACGCCCAGTGGGACAATCTCTACCTCTCATCTCTTTCTCCGTTCAAGAAATTCGAGCACACTTCCAAAATTAATGGCTTCAAGGAAGGCTCAAACTGTTCCCGCAACTGGCGCAAAGAACAAGAGCGCCCTCGTCGCAAGAGGTGTCACTTTAGGCATCACGACTCGAAGCATGGCAAGAGCTACTTCTGCCGCCTCTTCCACCTCTGCATCAACTCTGTCAAGGGAACAAAAGCACCCAAGGCATGAGCCTTTGATCACCTTAGCCTCACTAAGGGCACCAAGGGGGGAAAGCCCAAGGAAATACTCCGAATCCATGCTCTCCGATGCCGATTCAAGCGACAGTTCAGCCATGCAAGTCATGACCATTGGAGCAACTTCAATCGATGAGCAGCTGGCTCAAATGAATGAAGCAATCGCAAGGCTAACCCGAACTGTGGAAGAAAAAGACTTGCAAATTGCAGCACTAGTCAACCGACTGGAGGCGCAGGACGGCGATAAACCCGACCCAGATGATGATCCACTAAAGGGAGGAGCTGGCGGAGACGAAGAACCCCCGGTGAAGAAAATCGATGGGAAGCCGGAGCCAGACCAAGCAGCGGCACTCATGGGATCTCTTTCTATCCAGCAGCTGCAGGAGATGATCACCAACACCATCAAGGCACAGTATGAAGGGAGCTCACATACCTCCTTGTTCTACTCGAAGCCCTATTCCAAGAAGATTGATGCCCTAAGGATGCCAAAGGGTTATCAACCACCAAAGTTCATGCAGTTTGATGGAAAAGGAAACCCAAAGCAGCACGTTGCACATTTCGTCGAAACTTGCAACAACGCGGGGACGGAGGGAGACTACCTTGCCAAGCAGTTTGTGCGCTCGCTGAAAGGAAATGCCTTTGAGTGGTACACGGACCTAGAGCCTGAGTCCATCAACAGCTGGGAGCAATTAGAGCGGGAATTCCTCAACCGTTTCTACAGCACCCGCCGCACTGTGAGCATGCTAGAGCTAACGAGCACAAAGCAGTGGAAGGACGAGCTAGTCATTGACTACATCAACAGGTGGCGCACTCTAAGCCTCGACTGTAAAGACAGGCTCTCGGAAACCTCTTCAATCGAGATGTGCATCCAAGGCATGCAATGGGGTTTGCAATACATCCTTCAAGGCATTAAACCACGGACCTTTGAGGAATTGGCCACTCGCGCCCATGATATGGAGTTGAGCATCGCCCATCATGGGAAGAAGGAACCGATCGCCAACTACAAAAACGACAAAGCTCTTGAGACAAAGGTGGAAAAGGCTGCATGGAAACCCACCAAGGAAGCGATGATTGTCAACACATCTCCCGTCAAAATATCCACACGAGGCAAGGCGATTCAAACCGAAGCTTTTCGTGATCAAGAGATGCGTAGACGCACTTTGAAGGAGCTTGAAGAGAAAACTTATCCATTCCCTGACTCTGATGTGGTTGCCATGTTAGAAGACTTGTTGGACAAGAAGGTGATCAGTTTGCCTGAGTGCAGACGGCCGGAAGAGATGAATCGTACCGATAGTCCAAGATACTGTAAATTCCACCGCTTCATCAGTCATCCGACAGAAAAATGTTTCGTGCTGAAAGATCTCATCATGAAGCTGGCTCAGAAAGGAATCATCGAGCTAGATCTTGACGAAGTGGCGAAGTCAAACTATACCACCTTCACTTCTGGCTCTTCCGACTCAAAGTTTTCACCTCAACCGCTGGGGGCATCGTCCAAGACAAGAAAAATTGAAGGATGGACTCAAGTCACTCCTAAGAAATTGCACAAGAAGCATACGTCTCCTCCACAAGTCCGCCAATCGGAAAGGGGGCAAAGCAGCTATTGTCAACCTTCAAAGCAATGTGAACGTGTTGAAGATGATGAAATTTCGACATATAGATCGTCCATCCCCATCACGATGCGTGATTTCTTACCCGAAGACTTCTTCAATCACTCCTTGCCTGCATGAGTCAAAACTGCAAACGGCACAAAAAAAGAAAATACCAAAAAAAAAAAAATATGTATGTATTTGAACTACGTTACGACTTGATCTCTTTCTTAGGAAGGGTACGTAGGCAGCTTGAGCATTCAATTTCAAGTTCAGTCACATCAAAATAAAAATAAAAATAAATATATATATATATATAAATGCTTTATTAAGAAGGAAAATTTTATTACCAAAAAAAAAAAGAAAAGAGAAAAGGAATACACACGTTATTCTTTGTTTACAATAAATAAATAAATAAGTAAATACATATGTTATTATGTATTCACAAAAAAAAAAAAAAAAAAAAAAAAAAAAAAAAAAAAAAAAAAGAGGAAATAATTATATATATATATATATGTCTCTATCCAGCCAGCCCATCAGAAGGAGGTCGTCCAAACCCAATGGCAGTGACCAGGCCCAAGCCTATTGTCCAAATCAGGCCCCGGCCCATCTTCCGAAAGTCCTAAATCCTTCATCCTTCCACTTCATTCCGTGACCTGCATCTTAACTTCATCCCCTTCGTCTCTGCCGCTGACGTTGACAAGTTTCTCCGGTGCGGCGAATCGCCGAAAACTAGCAGCTACAAATCCGCTAGCAGCATCCGCGAGCTCAATCTCATCTCCACCGATGCGGTCTTCGACCCATGGCGATTCCAAATCCACCTGCTTGTGACTCGCGAGCTTCACTCGCTCCCTTTCTCACTCTCTCTCTCTCCTGCAGCCCTACCTCACCAACTTAATCAAAGTCGTACTTATGGCTATCCGCGTAACCCTCAGCTTCTCCGGCTATATGGCCCAAAACCTAGCATCCTCAGCAAGCCTCCTCGCGGGGAACTGTCGAGGATTTCAGGAATGCTGGGTTCGGTCTTGGGTATTCGGATCCAACCAGAAGCCTGATCTCGACCCCGCCGTCCCCGTCCGCAATTACCAGACCCAATTTTCCCGCTCGAAGCATTCGACGGCTGCCGTTAAGCCCTTGCCGTCATTATACACCGCTCTCACCGAGGAGATTCTGGGCGAGAGCTGCAAGAGCCCGATCGTGATGGGCTTGATCTCGCTTCTGAAGTCAACGGCTATCGCCATCGGCGTCTCTTCGGCTCTGGCCTGTTTGGGGATTTCGCCGTTTAAATCCGGTTCGGTCATGCTTTTTTTTATATTTTTTTTACAGGTCTCAAAGTGGTTGCTCTGCAACGAGTCTGTCCCGGTGTCGATAATGAAGGAAGTGGATAAAGGTGGAGCGTTGTGTGTCGATGACATTGCAGAAGCCTCGCAGCTCTCCAAGAAAGACATTGGGAGGACCGGTTTTTTGTCGCGGTTGTTGAATTATTGCTCGGAAGACACTAAGGCTGTGTTCACTGCTGTTACAGTCAGTGTATTGTTTAAGTCTTTCTTGGCTAAGCCCCGATCAATTCCCTCAACTTCAATGTACCCTACTCTCGATGTCGGCGATCGGAGATTGGCGAGATCGCTTCGCGAATTGCGCAGCTCTACTTGGGGCAGTACATAAGGACCAGCGAGGCAAGCTACCTCTCCGAGGCGTACATATTCTACGAGGCGATTCTCAGCAGAGAGTACTTCAAGGAGGGCATGTTTCAGGACCTGAGCTTGGCCAACAAGCAGCTCCGGTTTGTTTCGAGGTTTTTTTTTTTTAATGGTGTGCTTGCTCTTGAATCGACGAGAGATGGTGCAGCAGCTGCTCAATCAGCTCAGAGTCTTGGTTGATGAAGTGCAAGAGGACCTTCCAGGAAACTGATTTTAAAGAATGGAAGCTGGTGATTCAGGAAATAGTTAGATTTTTGAAAGCTGACACAGCTTTTATGAATATCAGGCCTTTGAGATACAGTATTGTTCTAGACTGTCATCCTGTTCCTCTCGTCAGTCAAGCGGAAGCCTATTCACTATTTTCCTCACAGCTCCAGTGCAGGCTTTCTGTTTACTGCTTGGTATTTCACGCTCTTTGACATTGACAACGGTTCGTGGAGCATTTTCCGGGTCGATTTCCATTTTCCCAAGGATCTGGAATCCTCTTCTGGGTTCCCAATCACTCCCACTCGAGTCACTCCATCGGGGCTCCACTACTTTCCTCCTTCCTCCTCAGTCGGACAGCCGTGCCTTCGACTTGCAGCTCACCACACGCCACGGGACGGCCCAATGCCATCATCGATTCCACTCCCGTAGCAGCGCTTCGCCAAACTCCTGCCCACCTTCTTCTTCTCCGCCGTGAGAACAACAGCCGCAGCAGCTCAACGCCTTGCGGCAACCTTCTTCCGCCTCTGCAATTGCACCGACGACCCATGTCGAGATGCTCGAGAGCCTGCCCTCATCCTTATCCTCCTCATCTCAGATCCGAGACCAATGCTCGCAACCTGTTCAATCAAATGCCTCACAATGATTTGGTCACTTGGACTGCCTTGATTTCTGGCTATTCTCAACACGATCGACCTCAGGATGCCCTTGTTTTGTTTCCTGAGATGCTCCGCCAGGGGCTGGAACCCAACCAGTTCACCTTGTCTAGCTTGTTGAAAGCTTCTGGCGCTGTCTCTGATAACAACCATGGCATGCAGCTTCACACTTATTGCTTTAAGTACGGTCTTGATTCCAAATGTCTATGTGGGCACTGCTCTTGTGGACATGTATGCTAGGCGTGGTCATATGGATGAATCCCAGTTGGTATTTGACGCCTTGGACATCAAGAATGAGGTGTCCTGGAATGCTTTGATTGCTGGGCATGCTAGGAAAGCTCAAGGAGAGCATGCACTCAAGTTGTTCTGGAAGAAGCAGGGAGCGGCGCCGTACCGGATCTTTAATTTGGGGAACACATCACACCGTCTGAATCTCCACTTCTCTTCCTCAGCTGCCCAGCAATGGAAGCAGCAACCCATCTTCTTCTCCCTAGCTGATCATCCTCCCCCAACAGCACCGTGTCGAGAGTAGCAGCAGGCGGAGCGAGAGAGACGCCAACGGCAAGGATCTCGACCTCGAGAGAGACGGCTCTCGTGGCATCAGCGACGAAGAGGATGGCAAGACGTGCAGGAAGAAGCTCAGGCTCTCCAAGGATCAATCTCCGCTGTCTCTGCGACATCCAGCCCAACCCCTCTTCACCATTAGAGCTCCACATTCGAGATGCTGGAAGGTGGTGCCAACTCTGTCGCCGCGTCGTCTGAATCTCCACCAAACCCCACCTGCTGCACATGGTGCGCACACCCGGAGCAAGTTGGGCTGCGCTCTCGGCATCGACTCCTTCCACCGCAGCGCCTGGCCTCCCTCGAACTTCAAAACGATCGCCGTCAAACGACTAGCCGGTCGTAAAGCTCGAAGCACCATCTTCTCCGTCCGCCTTCGTCCTTGCTCCGCTCCCTGCAAATTCCCCAGCCCATCATCGAAATTTATACAAAAAAAATAATAATAGAAAATGGGATAGTGGATAAAAGATGGGGAACAGCCCCATGGCAGATCAAAAGTTTCTGGTAATGCATGGGCACCATGTGCAAAAGAAAAAAAAAAAAAAAAAATGATGATGGAACTTGGTGCATCCAGCACCAAAAGAAAAAGATAATTAAAGGCAAAATATATATAAAAAAAAAGGGATCTTTGGTGCGTCTGGCCAAAAGAAAAAGAGAAAAAAAAAAAAACAAAAGAGTATATGTACATAATATATATAAAATAAAAAATAATAAAATTTAAAAATAAAAAATAATAAAATTAAAAAAAAAAAATTGCATTGAGAGAAATAAAGTTCATTTTATTTATTTTTCTGGGAATTTTTACATAAAATTGCATTCTACATACCAAAAAAAAAAAAAAAAAAAAAAAAAAAATTTGTGCAAACAAACGGAAGGGAGTCTTTATTGCTCAGGTGGTGTCTCAGTACTCGGCGGAACTCCAGGAAGAAGAGGAGCCAAAGGTTGATCATTCGGAGCTTCATTACGCGGTACAGCCCTAGAAGACGAAGGCAAATGTTGTTGGAACAAACCCACAAACCTCCGATGATCAAGTAAAATCTGACCATCAGATTCCTGCATCTGGTCAATTTTCCTCTTCATGTTTGTGGCATAGTTGTGTGCGAGCTTGTGCAACTGTTTATTCTCATGCTTGAGCCCTCTGATCTCCTATTTGAGACTCATCACTTCAGCCGCCAACGATTCAACTTGACGGGTTCGAGCAAATAGGCGTTGGGCCATGTTGGACACAGAACCCGCACACTGCACACTAAGAGCCAGGGACTCCTTAACAGCCAACTCATCAGACCGCCTGGAAAGTAGTCTGTTATCTTTGGGAGTGACAAGGTTCCGGGCCACCACCGCAGCGGTCATATCATTCTTCATCACCGAATCCCCAATAGTAAGAGGACCAGTAGGGGATATGAAGGATGGGCGCCATATGTTATCTGGAGAAGACGGGACTACCTCTTCACCAAGGTTCAAATCAAAACGACGGTCGGATGGTCCAGACATTTTCAAAGTGTTGAAGGAAGAAGAGATCGGACAAATCAAGATCTTAGAAGTACAAGAGGGGGAGTTTTCACAAGCGAAAATTCAAGTGTGCTTTGAAACGAACTGCATGCCTCTATAAAAAATCAGCACTCGACGGAATTTCAGAGATCGAAGAGGCGAGCTCAGAATTCGAAGAGGCCATTCAAAAATCGAAGAGGCAAGCTCAGAAATCGGAGAAGCATCTTGCTTTTCCAGACGCGTCGGCACCCGTCACACGCAAACTCAGCTTTGCAGAAATCACGGGTAATTTGTCGAAGCGCCAATCCCAGATATCGAAGAGGCGCCAGTCTTTTTCAGCCGCGTCATCACCTGTCATATGCACACTCAACTTTGTGCAAATCACGGGCAATTTGTCGAAGATTTTCGGTGAAGGAGAAAGCACGTGAAGTTTACTGTTCAATCACGCGTTAGTTGCCGACACGAGTGAAAGAATAGTACCTCTACAGGTATTAAGGGACCTCCTATAACTGTCCACCTTCGCCTTCCATAGCAAGGCAGACATACAGAGCCTTTCTTCATCTCCAAAAATGCCTTCCCAACGAAGCCTCTCGAGTCACTCGGTGTTTCTTATTCCTTGGGGTACCTCTGTAAGCCAATGACTCCAAAGCAAAAGTATCTCATATCACCAGGGTAGAAAGCAAGAGTATCTCATATCATGCGTTCTCCCTGTCATTTCCTTTGTCCTTGCTCCTACCTACAAAGACAAGGATAAAGAAAACAATATGCTGGAACTTCCACTCAAACTCGGGTGAGGAACCGACTGCTTGGAACCCTTCCCTGATTGCCTACCTAGCACTGCTCTCGAGTACTTGTCTCCCACTGCTGCTGTACTTCCAAAGAAGCTGCCACATCTGCCTGGAGAACAGATAAGGCAAGTGAAAATGATACCTTGTAGCATGTGGAGACAAGGTGCAGAAGGAACAAGCAGAGGAGAATGCGGTCGGCACGGTCAACTCAGCAGAAGGAGTCCGAACTGAGGAACTCGAGAAGCTGCCACATCTGCCTGAAGAAACAAGCAGAGAAGAATGCAGCATGCACAGTCAACTCAGCAGAAAGAGTCTGAGATGAAGAACTCGAGAAGATGTCGCATCTGCCTGAGGACGGTGAACTTGTTTTGACCCTCAAATTCTTGGGTCGACTTACTAGGCGTTGCGGGCTGCACGTGCCGATTCACCACCCTTGAATCAAATCCTTAAAGATTAAGTCACCAACTGGAAGAAGAGCCCATCAATCTTGAAGATCATACCGTTGACCAAACTGCTCAGGTGTGAATTAGAAAGATTGAACAGAGCAACAAGTTGTCACCTTCACCTCGTGCCTGCTTGTCATGTGTTCGAGTCAACCTTCAAGAATCAAGCCTCGACGGCCCTGGAAGAAATCACAAGTCTGATTCAAGATCAAGTGTCTACCACCCTTGAATCAAAACCTAGTTCAAGAATAAGCTGTGGAAAATCAACAATTGGAGGAATCCAAAAAATCCTCCAACCCAGTTCAAGATCAAAGTTGTGGAAAGTCAACAAGCGCAACAAAATACGTGCCGATTCATCCACTACCAAAGCCAAAAATCATCTACCACATGAAGCTCCTTGTGGCCCAATTTCAACCTTCAAGATCAAGTCTCGACGGCCCTTGAAGAAATTTCAAACAAAAGTTCAAGAACAAGCCTCAACGGCCCTTGAAGAAATCTCAAGTCCAATTCAAGATCAAGCCTCGACGGCCCTTGAAGAAATCTCCAGCCCAATTCAAGATCAAGCCTCAATGGCCCTTGGATCGACATCTACAGTAAGAGACTTCAAAACGCATCTCCTACACGTGACAATCACATGTATACGACGCGCCTTGAAGTTGGGGCATTTGTAGACATCGAAATTTCGGTAAATAAATGTTGACCGATAAATCAAAGTGTCAACGCTCATGTATTACATAAATTTTACACGTAGCGTGTGACTCAACGAAAATTGAAATGAGTTGGAAAAGTCATCAAATAGGACACGTGTCAACACCTGGCAGAAACGACTTATTTCATTTGGAATATTATATTCAAAATTAGGCCTTGGGAAATTCTATAAATACAAGCCCAATTTCATTCATTTGGGGACCAATTCATATTACACCTTGAAGCTCTGAAGCTCTGAAACTCCG